CTTCATTTGCACATCTGCTGATCCTGAGGGTCAGGCACCAGCGAAGTGATAGTTCCTGCTCTGCAGGAAATAATTGTAAGGTGGAGTGGACTTTCCTATAGCCAAAAAGGCTTCTTGCTCTCCATTAATATTGGCTGCTGTGTCATGTTCTCCTGCAATATGTGACATGTTTCTGTCTGCGTAGGTACGTAGTTCCTCCAGGCAGATGAGGGCATTTGTCCTTGGTAACAGGAGCGTGAACGAAATATGAGAAGGTTAAATAGCTTCTCTGCCTGCTGGTCCTCATGCTAGCTTGGACCCCAAGACCTTGGTTCACAGAGCCAGTGAGATGCAGGTGGCTCTTACAGATTGCTGTGCATATCAAGCAATAGTGACTGTAAAGTGGCCCCAAACCTACCGCTGTCGGTTCCCTTCTGCAGAAAGTAATCCCTTTCTCTCCATGAGGCTTCCTGCTCAAGACATCTCTGTGCAGCTACTCACAGACATCCTCGGGCTTTTCTACAGAGGATTATGGTTGCGGTGAGAGCCTGCACTGGTGGATAATTTTTGCAGAGAGCACTGACCGCATCGTAACCCTTTTGGTGAAAGGCTGGAAACCCACTGAGGCTTGCCTGCTGACAATCCAGGCAGTCCTTTTGCACTGCGCTGCAAAACTCAACCACAATATTAGGCTATTTAAACTAGAGCTATTTGAACTAGTTGTAACGTGCTGGAAGGTTGCCTGATAATAGCAAGAGATCAGGACTGTTGCTCTGTGGGCTGTTTACGTATTTACAGTGTTTAGCCCAGGCAGGAATCCACAGCACTGCAATGCAAGTAGACTTCACCAGACTGTTAAGTCTTTGTTTGGGTATGCATTTATGTTTTGGTGCAGTACCAGAAAAAAACACCTTCTCTGGTTGCAGTGTTGTTTCATTGAAATTGCAAAAGACTTCAAAAGAGTCTTCTAGTTGGTGAGGAAGAGCCAAAACAGGCATTTGTCTTATTCAACATAAATTCCAGAACGTTACGGTACCGATATGTATGAATTTTCTCTCCAGGTCTGTTGAAGTCTCATGACAAATAAAGAGGTGACTTTCTTCCAGTAGTTTAAGGAGATGCTTACAGAAACTAATGAAAGAGCAAGGGAATTTTTTACTGATGAAGGTAATATTCCAGTTTCAAATCTCTGAATAAAACCAAAGCAAGTTGTATGTGGCAGATACCAACTGAAAAGCGTGTGAGTCTACAGAAAACCTCCAGTCTCACTGAAGGCAACTTTTTCAGGATGCTGGCAAGCGTGGGTCACACCAAAAGAGCAGGAGATCTGCAAGGGCTGCACCCAATTGGGGAATAAATGCAAAGGAGTGCGTGAATGACACAAGATAGATTAGTACATGATGTAGATGAACTGTCAATCTGAATGTCCAGGAATCCAGAACTGATTCATTGTTGGCCTATGTCAGCGGTTGCCCTTGCTGGCTGCTTCTTTGTGCTCTGTCCACATGGGGAAATGAAGACAACCCTTTTGTTTTTGAAGGATGCATTCACTCCAGACGGTTTGAGTAATTTAGTCTGTGCCCGTAGCCTACTTGCATAATTAATTATCACTTTTTCCCCTTCAGCTTTTTAAAGAGAGCTAAAGAGTCTCTGCAATTTAGGCTTCTTAATCTCCATCTTGCATTCTGCAACCTAAGATATTTTTTGTGCTAATTGCTGCATCAAATTTACTTTACTTAGGTTGGAGTAAAGCTTCATTTAAACCAGAAGTGAATGTGGCCTAGATTATCTTATTGTTATAACAGGTCAAAGAAACAGTTGCTTGCCATTTGCAATTTGAACCAGTAACTCTTTAAGCTAGTAATATCCCCCCTTATTTATTTTTGTTAGACCTCATGAATGTCAATAAGTGAATGACATGCATTCATCGCCTGTGCAGATTAAATGATTGGCACTTGATTTTCTGCCTGCTGCCCGTCTGTTGGGATTTCCATTTGGAGCTATTATTTCAGTCTCCTTTGTGCTCCCTCCCCAATGTGTGCAGGCTTTGTAGGTTTGAGCAACTTAAGCATTTCAGACATTAATTCTTCTCACTTGTGAAAACATGATATGAGTTACAAAGTGCAGCCCCATCAAACTTCTACAAACATTGCACCTTAGCTGGTGAAACTCGGGAGAAAATAGTCACTTAGTGTAGGGGATTTCTCTTTTTTTGTAAATATATTTCTGAATGCTCAGACACAGTTTTGTCACATCCTGCGTCCAAGGAAGCCTATATGATAGCCGCGGTGCAAACTTACTGTGCGAGCCGCTGTTTGGAACAGAGTAGGCTCCTGCTGGAAGCTCTCGCTGGTGGCTCGGGCTGATCCCAGATGCATGTACGCGTTGTGACATAGCTCTCTCTACCTCTCTATATTTACCGTGATGATGGGTAGCGGTTAAGAAGGGAGCTTTAAATTAGAGGCTGGCAAGAAGGATGAGCAGGGGTCCTTTAAAGCCAGGAATACTTCACTTTTGGTGGCTTGTGTTGGGTGATCTGTCTGTACCATGGGTGGGCTATGTATGTGGACCAATTATGCAACAGTAACTTTTTAGTCCTTCAGAGGCTAAACGGAGCACGGTGCCCTCTTGGTCAGCCATTGCCTCCCCAGTTACAGGTTTGATCCACGCATGTGAGGTTCGTTCTTTTAGAGATGATCGTCTTTAATTCCGGCCCTGGACTTGCCCAAATGAGTTTTTATATGCATAAATATATATATACGCATAAATATATATATATACAAAAGCCAGCGCTCTGCCTCACAGTGCAAAGGTATTGGCAGAGCTGATACTACACTGCTTAGCTCCCCAGGTTGCCTTCTTCCTGCTTGGTTTCCCTCCTCACTTTTGCATGACCGGTTTACAGATTTACAACCAGGTGAGAAGGTGGTTGTCGCTTTCCTGAGGAGACAACAGAAGGGCTCCCCAAATACTTGTGCTTCCCCCATAAACCTCCTCAAAAGCATCCCGATGCCTTACTGCATATTCAGATTGCTGAACAGTTAGCTGGACCGTAACACAAGTGGTGGAAGCGCTCATCTTCTTTCAGGGATACATCTGGGAAACCTATGGTCAGAGCTACACATTGGCGCTTCCCAGAGACACTAGCTCTCACATGCAAAATAAATAGTGCAAGTTTAGTCTTTGCTGCCTTAATGATAAATGGTCAGTAGCAACACATCGTGGAAGAGATTTGTTCCTGGTTTTCTGAAGCAATAATTACATAAAATGTTCTGAGCAGGGGTGCCTCAACTTCTTAAATGAGCTTATTAATCTTAGGCTGTCTGGAAAGCCCGTAGGTTTGGATTGTTTCCCCTCGTGGGCGTGCGTGTAGGCTCTTGTGGATTTTGGGGTTGATAGGGATGTCGTTAGAACCGAGGAAAAATGGTTGCAGCTGCTCTTGTCTGTCTTCACACTTTCCTAAATGGTTTTCTGGGGGAAAGGAATTGCTTTAAATGTGTTATGCTCCTAATGGAAATTTAACTTGTTAAAGAGTTCATGGATTCACTGCAGAAAAATACCTTTATTGTGTGTGATGTTTTCAGTTCGTGAATCAATGTCATCGTTTTACAAGGTCATTGGAAAAAGTCCTTTTGCTGAGGAGGCTCTGGCAATGTGAACCTTGCTGTTTATTATTTTTTCTTTTCTCCTAAAATTAATCACTTGTTACTTTGCTTTTGGTTTCCAGGGTCTTGGTTGGTGCTCCCAGGGCGGAATCTAAATACAGCGCCTCTGTTCAGTCCCCAGGAGCAGTGTTTAAATGTCGAGTCCATACCAATCCTGACAGAAGATGCACAGAACTGGATATGGGTCGAGGTGGGTAGTTGTGATGCTTTAAAAAAAAAAGGTTGGTGGTGGGGAATAGAATCTTGACAAATACCTGAAGTTTTGCTCCAAAGGCTAATGACTGGAGAGCCTCCTGTCAGCTCCGGGGAGCGCACGGCAGGGCCCCAAGTCCCTGGAGAGATCCATCAAGCTCCTCCTGGCAGATTTTTGAGCACCAGCAGCGAAGGTGCCTTTTCTTCGCAGCATTACAGAATTGTGTCCCATTTGGTGATGGGAGACAGTGCTCTCCCAGTGGCCATACTTGCTCTCTCCATTGGTTAAGCAGGCAAAGGTGTTTTTTTTTATTTTTGTTTTTTTTTCTGTTTATTTTATTTATTTATTTTTTACCCTAAGCCATTGTCTTTTCTCTGCCTGCCTGAATGTGGCTTTTCAGCGCGCCCGTGGGTATGTGACTGGTCCAGAGCGCTGCTGCCTGTTCCAGACAGTCTTGAAATGATGGTGTGTGGGCTGGCCCCAGATGTTGTGCATGGTGTACTGTGTTATTAGCAACATAGCAATCTGTGGGTTCCCTCATAATGCAGTAAATGATTCCTTTTGTTTACCTCTAAAGGAAATAAAAGTTTCTCTCAGAGAGCAATGCTTGTATGTTGTTGCATGTGACCAGGATTCCCTTTGGTTTCTCGGAAGTACAGTCCGACCCAGGGGAAGACAGGGTGCCTGTTTCTAAATTAAGGCTCTGATCCAAAACCTTGGGCTGGATTCTGATGGAGAAATCTGAAGTCATTAGGTCTTTCATTTCTCTTGGTGACGTGATTCTCATTATTGCTTTCTGTGCCTATAGAAAAGGTATATTAGTATTGTTTCACTAATCTTTTCAAAATGGGAGTCAAATAGAAATTTACTTTTATGAAGTGTACTTATATTAAAGCTGTACTTTTGGCTAGTTTTGATTTATCCTCCTGCTATGAAAATGTTAGTGATCTTTGGTGAAGACATGAATACTGCCTGACAGAATTAGAGATTTAGGCCCTGCTTTCTTTAAATGCCCATGATCTCATTTTCAAGAATAACTTTATTTCGACTACATTCGGCAGGCAATTCCACATCTCTCCCATTGACTTCAGTTGGATTGATTATCCAAGTAAAACTGTTGACACGCTGCAATAGCTGCTGGCTTTACGCTCTGTTTGGGACAGGGTCTGTCTTCTGCAGTACATTTGCATGATGTCAAGTAAGAAGGAGAAGATCACCCTGAATAGTGCATACAAGAACTAATAATAATGATGAAGGAGGGAAAAGGAAAGCACTCTCAGGCAGAGGTTTGATCAAAGCTCTCTTTTCCTATAGGGATTCTCTGTAGATATTTAAAGCTCATGTCTCCATGCCTTTGCTGCCTTTCCCCTCTTTCTGTAGGCAATTCCCGGGGCATGCTGTGTGGGAAGACCTGTAAGGAGGACAGGGATGATGAATGGATGGGTGTGAGCTTGGCCAGGCAGCCTAAGGCTGGTGGAAGTGTGCTGGTAAGTCCACTCTTTTCTTTGATCTCATTAAGATCGTTGCTGCTGTCTGACTCTAATGCTAAACACGTCAGGATTAATGTGCTCGGTAGTGACTGACAGAGTCCAGCTTTATGGGCAGCTACTTCTGTAGTCCCTTCCTTGAAGCGGAAGGAAAATGAGCCCCAGCCAGAAAGCTTTATTTATAGAGGGGGGACTTCAAAGCAGTCACACCTGACTTGTGTCACCTAGGGGCTTCCTCCTAAATCTGAGGGATTAAATCTTTGAACAGAATAAATACGACTTTGTCTCTGAGGTATCTGCTAGTTTATTCCCTTTGCAGTTGGTCTGTGTTTATGTAGGGAATATATATGCATTCATTTTCCAGGAGGATATGTATTGGGCATCAGAGCTTACTGGGAAAAATGTAAGATGAATCTTGGCAGTGCTATTTTGTCTTCATGTATTTCTACTAATTCAAATTCTACTAATGAGACAGAGGAGTGGAGAGTGAAGATAACTTAGTTGTGTGCAGGCGGCCTTGCTGTCTTTGTAATGGTTACCGTGCAAGTAGAAAGGTCAAGGAGAGCAGATGGGATCCTTAGGATGTGGAATTTATCTTTGCAAAATAACATTTCCTATGCTGGAGAAAGATCATAAAGAAAGCTGGGCAAATAACTTTTAAAAATACATGGGTATATTACAATCAATAACTGTGTCTGTGTTTATATCCGCTGTTGGCTTCTGACTGTCTACCAAACGAATCTGCAGGAATGTTACCCGAAATAAAAAACTGCAACCAAAAACACTGTGCATAATACATCTGGCAAGCAAATTTTAAGCTTGTATTGGAGTAACCCTAACAATAATCTAATCCTAAACACACTGAGGAGTTGGAAACTTACAGTGTGACCCTGTCTTTCCAACGCGATACAGAATATCCGTGGTACATGGAACAAACTACTCATAAATGTACTAACGGCAAAAAATTCTCGTACAAGAATTTCTGTGCTTAACCACCTGTGTAAGTCAAGTGGAGAAAGCTGCCTTGTACAAAGAGAGTCCTCTCAGTAGGAATGTAGACTCCGAGCAGTTATGCCGTAACTTGCTGCGCACCAACTTCAACAGGGGGAAATAGGTGTTTTTTACACCTTTCTGTGGTAGGCGGAGATGTGCTATGGTACTTTATCCGATTTGGTGTGCAACTTGCAAGTGCTTTAGAGGCTGGTTAATTCTGGATATTTTAAGTATGTGTCCAGCAGTAGGGAAGGGGGGAACATAGAGTGGCATGATTCAAAAAACACCCTACCCCCTTCCCCCCCAACAGTATAAACAGCTTTCATCAAGTGCAATTTAAGTCTTTGTCGCAAGGGCTTCCATGCTGCATGCAGGGCAGGGTGCTACTTCTGCCCTCCTAAACAGGAGGGTCTTTCCCACTGCTGCCGTCTTCTTTTTCATGCCTCCTGCTGTGGTGGGCAGGTTTCCCCTCTGTGCTGAGGGGAACCTCCACGGGGAGGGTGGTGCCCTGCTCCGAAGGGCCCCATCCGTGCCCTTCCGCGAGGAGGCATGTCAGGCATTTCAGATGTAAAGCAGGTTAAAAGCAAAGTGTAGCTCAAGGAAAGTGCACAGCTGGTTGATATGCTTATTTCGGTGCAGCTTAAGTTGGTACAACATCTCCACAAGTTCCACTGATTTAAAGCAATCCTAAGCCAGCCCTCTCGCAAGCTTGTGCTGCCTCCACCAAGTAGATCATGTCCAGATGTTTGGGGATGTTTGTGGGTAATTCTCTTTGCAATCAGTGAGATAGTTATCACCGAAGCTCTCAGTCTTAAACTATTAATTAAACATCTGTCTACATCTGTGTGTAGACAGAGCCTGAAATACGGAATACAGATTCTTCCAGCAATCTTGGGTGGAAAATACCCTGCTGTTTCAGGGCAATGTTACTCTCCGTTTTGAAGAGCATGGATCTGAAATACCTTTTTAATGAGAAAGATGCATGATTTCCCTGTGAAAAGGTGGTTTTTGGTTCATGCAGTCTTCTAATTTTAAAGATTAAGATTTCTTTATAATGCAGCTCTTTGTAAAGTGTCCAAGAGAAGTTCTCATTCTGAGAAAACATGTTGTCTGTGTGTGTGTTCAGAACCATATCTGCTGATCAACTTTTTAATAAAATTGCTAGGTAACTCTTGCTAATCTGGCTTTTATATCTTTGGTCAATATTGCAGACTAGCCATCAAAAATAAAATCAGCATTTTAAGCACTTTTTCCGACAGACGTGGTAATACTTCTAATAGGATAAAATTGCCATTGCCACCATATAAAGTTGCTTTGCAAAGGATGCACTGCATGTATATTTACATATATAATACAAAATAAACTTCTTTACCTATATTTGCACTTGCCAATGACAGTACAAAGCCTGTTTATTCATAGCTATGCAAATAATAGGGCTTCAGCGTTTTGGGGCTCTCCCAGCTTGCCAGCCGTTTGAAGAGTAAGAGGAGCTTTGCCAGTGAAGTTAGTGCAGCGTATCGTCTTGTCCTCCACCAGCCCTGGTTCTCCTGAGAGAAGTCGTCCCCAGCAGCTAGGAGCATGCACAGTCCATTTTGTCAGGTGGTACGGCGTTATTTACTGTGTCACTTTGTAGGGATTCCTTTAAATCAGAGTGATATCTTTGTGTTTAATAGCCCTGAATTTTTTTATGAATAGGCCCAGTCGCTTTTTTAAACCGAGATGAACTACTCACACTCATGATGTCCCATGTTAGAGGAGTTAGAGTCCCACAGTTTGATGGTCGATGGCATGAGGAAGTTGTTCCTTTTGCTTTGAACCTGTCTAGTGGCTGAAATTTCTCTTTGATCAGCCTTTGCAATTGTCAGGTGAAAATACTAACTTTGGTGAAAAGGGGCAAAAGGAAGGTTAAGAAAGTGCCGGTAGTTAGTGGGGCTTAGCTGGCGGTTGGTAACATGGGTTGTGTTCAAGCCCAAATGGCACCTGCATATTACTGAACCAGAGTTTTATGTTTGTGTGAAGGACATGAGAGCTAAATAGAAAGGCATCTAATAATAATGAAGATTGAGACAAATGAACAAGGAAGATTAGCTAAAAAGGCTGTGCAGATTTGCAGTTCAGTGGTCTCCTGGAGCATGCCATCAGTCAATATTTGCATTAATTTAAGTGCTACAATAATACAGCTGAGCTTGCCAGTTCTTTCCAAACTGAAATGGCAAAATTCATTCTTTCAGTTTTTGTTGGGAGGGGAACTAGGGGCAGTGCATTATGACTCGGAGATAAGTCACATCCTTTAATCCTGTTCTTCCTCATTACCTGCCACATCTGTCATTACAGTTTGTTTTAATCAAGTGTTGCCATTTTTTATTCTAAGTAGCCAACCTATTGGCACATTTAATAATAAACTGTATGTGGTGGGGGAGGGGGAAGAAACAACAAAGAATCTGGGGAGACTGGGAAAACGTCAAATCCCACAGCCATGGTATGGGGGAGTCCAAGGGAGCCGCTGCTGAGAAAGCTGAGGTGCAGCACATCTGGAGCTACGGTTAGGAGCTGTCGGCAGATGTGGGCAGTCGAGGGGAACTGTGTTGTGCTTGAACACACGATGTGCCGAAGGGACAGAAAAGTGATCGTTTGCCAAAAAGAATGGAAATTAACAGATCGGGGAAGTGCTCCCAGAATGACTAAGGTGAGCCCCCAGGCTCTGGTTGATCTCGAGCATGCGCTTGGTGCGGCAGCTCCTTTTCTGTCTTGTGTCTTTCTTGGCCTCCGCACTTCACCTCCACTCGTCCCCGAGCAGAGCCTCCTGCTCGTGATGAAATGCTGCTGCTCTCCCTGATTCTCAGTCGTTTGTGCTCCTTTGGGAGAGATTAGTAGGTTAATTTATGTGAGTCCCTGGCAGTTTTCGAGAGATAAAATGTCATTTAGATCTGTTTCTGTTTCAGTTTACATCCGGCCTTGAGGTTGACTTGAATGTTGCTTTAGTGCTACATGTCTGCATGGTACTATCTTTAACGAGGCTGTGCACGTGTATATTTGCACCCACCGAACAGATTCTTCATGAGAGAGATTGTTTCCTGACTACTCTGAAAAATAAAGCTTTTGTGTGCTGTTTTATTTTGTTGTTGTTGTTGCTGTTGACTTTTGAAAGAGGAGTGCATGGGGATTAAAATCATAACTGGGCTTACTTCAAAAAGCAAGTAATTGCATCCCCAAAGCTGCTCTGTACAGGACTCCTAAGATGCATTTGGCTGTCAAGCAGAGTGCCATTATAAGCATCCTTCATGTAATGCGTGGCACTCAGCGACACAGGATGCAGCGCAGAGCTTTCCAGAGCCCCCCAGAGTCCTTCGTTATCCCTGTGCGATTACTATCTTCAGGAAGTACATGCTTCTGGTTGAGTACCGGGGTTTGAGATTTATTGCTCTTCTAACGTCCAAGTGCAGCGCTGTTAACGGCGGAGCAGGCTTGTGCATAACTGGTTTTGCTCCATTTCAATAAAAAATGAGAGAATAGTATTACCCTTTATGCCTTTCTGGGGTTAAGTACACAGGAAGGGGCCTGTGTTGGCGGCTGGATTGAATTCAGGGTTTCCCAGTGGTTGATATGTTTCCCAGGTCCTTTATCAGGTCGGTGACTCAGCTATGCCCGGTTTGGGGAGTTTTTACCCACGTAAGGATGCTTGCAGAAGCAATATGCTCAGCGCTGGGGTGGTGAGGCCGAAAAGTGGGGTTGGGCAAAGGGGGGAAGGGAGAAGGTGTCTCTTCCGGAGGGGACAGTGTTAAATGGAGGGCTCACAGAGGTGGCCGTCCCTGACCCCTCTGAACTAGCAGGCCCGATGCAAGGCCTCCGGGAAGAGCTGAAAGTACGTGGAGGAGATTATCTGTAGCAGAGAACCGGCTCTGTGCGCACGGGGCCAAGCCTTGGGCGACATAAAGTGGCACCTCTACACTGACTTCAGTGACTTGCCCCAGCTGGAGATACGGCCCAGCATGTGCTCAAGTTCAAAGCCCGTGCTGTTTCGCCTTTCATTTCCTTTTTTTCTGAGTAACCCTCTGGGCATAAGGCTATTTGTGGTTTGTCTGGCAGCAATGCAGCGTTAATTTTTGAAGCAAATGGATTTTGGGGAAGTGTGAATTGGGCTGAGCACTGTTTGCCTGCGTGTCTTTGTGTGGCGGTGCTGTATCTTGTTTTAGCTCTGGTTTTGAAAGTTTATCTTACTTTTCACTCTGGAGGGGAAGACCTCCTGTTCTTTGCACCTCATCTATACCTTTATTGCCGCTCTCGTTGCTGCAAAATCTCTGGCATCTTCACTTAAATTCATTACCGGTAAGCCAGGCCCAGCTTTTCTGTCACTGGAAAAAACACACCTCTCCCAGGATACAAGCCTTTGACGGGTGCATCCTCTGGTGGGGTAGCCTTCCAGTATGGCCTTAGTAACCCTCTGAGTCTTAGCATCCCTTCTGGTCTCCTTACAGGTGTTCTCAATGTTTTTTTTTTTCTTGTTTTTCCCCTTTTTCTGGCTTGGGGGAGGGTTCTGTCCAATGCGGGCAGCTCTGTTTAGAAAAGCTTCACTGGCCATGAAGATTCATGCAAAATCTGGAGCATGGTCTCTGTCTTGTGCTGGGACCTGCTGATGTGTGTGACTAGGAAAACATATGAAGACTGAGATCTGAGCTGCCAGGTCAGGCAGTGTCACGAGCTGCAGAGAATGGCAGTGAGAAGATGCTTTACTGAGGAAGAAGCAAGGTGTAAGGGGAGGATAAGAGGGGGTGGAGGGGGAAAAGGTGATACTGAGAGGTCCTGTTCCTGCACTCTGCATGCCCTGCCTGGCTCAGAGGGCTCTCCTGTTACTCTAGGCCAGTAACGCCTGTGGTATGATCTGTTTAGGCCTGTGCACATCGCTGGAAAAACATCTACTACGAGACAGAGTACATCCTCCCCCACGGCTTCTGCAACATCATTCCGCCCAACCTGCAGCCCGCCGGCCGGAGGCTCTTGCCCTGCTACGAAGGTAAGGTGTGGGGCTCGCCTCCGTGTACGTCCTCTTTTGTAATGGTCGGTGTGTTTTCCGTTTGTTTCCACAAGCATCTGCTCTGACCCTCGCTGCTGATGGTTTTCTTTTTTCCTTTCTGTGCTTTGAGGCACAGCTGGGAAGGAGGTTGGTCTTTGGATAAAGCTGGGAGAAAAGCGCTGTGACTGAATGGATCCTATGACTTATGGTGCACGGCCGTGCTTACCTAGTAGAAGAATAATACATTTCTGAACAGTTTTTTGAGGTAAAAGTTCTCTCTCTCCCTTATATGAATGTCACTAGACGTTGATGCAAACTTAAACCATTGGTCACAGCCTCTCATGCTTAGCTGCACCGCTGAGTAAATAAATATGCTGAATTATATTGTAGCTGGGAACCAATTTTTTCATTTTAGGGAAATATTTTCTTTCTTGTGTTGTGATTTGGAAAAGAAGTACTAGAGGGAAAAAGTGTTGCTTAACACCTTACTTTTTCAGGAGACTGGTGTGGCAGATGAGTGTAACTGCTGCCGTATTTCAGATATTGTAAGGTATCTGATCCCTTTTTGGATCCTCTGAAGGCCTGGGTTTACATGGGCGAAGAGAGACCCAGAGAGACACACAGAGAGCGAGTGAGCTCTGAACAATGGGTGACTATATCTGTTTCTACTCTAAATCCCAAGTGTCAACGTTTTAATTTTCCAGCTCTCTGGTGTGTATGTGATTTTTTTTTTTTTTGTATCAGATTTCCTTTCCTGAAGGCTTCAGAAAACAGCATCTCCTCGGCCAAAAGCAATTAACTAATCCAGAGGCATAAGTATGTTGTTAGGAAGAAGACAGAGTATCTCTAAGATTTCTCAGCCCTTGGGAAAACACCTTCTTGGGTTTCTTCTGTCTGTCTCAGGCATTGTCTTTCCCCCCACAGCCATAGGAGCCTGAGGAAGCGTAGGAGTTTGGAGGCCAAGATGCGGTGCGGTGTGATGTGGGCAAAGCCTTTGTTTTGTTTTGTTTTGTCTTTTTTCTTCAAAGTTGGCAATGGCTGGTGACAGCCTTGCTGCTGACATGAGTACGTGGGAGAGGGATAACGCGGTAGATGTCCCTGTGAGTTCCTCCGCTGCTAAACATCAGACGTGTCCCAGCTGAGAGGCCTGGGAGACCAGGTCCGTGCTGGAGCTGGGTGAGACCTGCCGGAGGGTAGGCTCTGCTCCCAGCTCTCCATCTCTCTTGGTGCGGTTTCTTGCCTCATCTGGGGTTTTGCTTCGGGGCTTGTGATTGTTTTGACCCAGCGCAGCCGAGAAGCAGCTCAGGGCAAACCGGGATGAGCTGTGGGTTGCGGTGACAGTCTGAAAAAGTGTTTTTTAACCTTAAAGCTTTCACATACACAGCTGTCACAGGTTTCACTACAAAACTGTGGACCTTTGTCTTAAGTACGTGTGTCTGCCTGGAGACCGCAAACACTTGTGTGCTGAGCATTTGCCAGCCCTGAATTTGTTAATTATGTGAAATCTAAGGTGCGTTGAGGCTTTCTTGAACCAGCCGTTCCAGCAGCAAAATACAGGTAAACCGTGTAGCCTTCCTCTTCTGAATCTGTCCTGTTTTATTAGTTCTTTGTTCCTGTCAGCAAAATCAGGCTAAGGCTTTGCGCTTAAGCAATGCAATGCAAATCATCCGATATTGCCTTTTATGATCACCGCATATGTGCAGAGTCACTTCCAGAGCTTCCTCTGCGCCTTTGTCATCAATCTTGCGTTTTCTTAAAAACTGCCAGTCTGAAATCACTGCAGAGAGGTGGTTTCTGGACGAGACAAACCGCTTGTATTTTTCTGTGCGTCATGTCTTCGGAGTAAAACTGCTGCTCATCTGACAGGATATTTGCCAGGAATTGCTAGAAAATAGAAATGTGTGGGCCTAGTATACGCAAAGCAGCCAGTGGAAAATTGGCAGGGCTGGTGCAGTACAATGCTGGCTTAATTTCACTGTATGCTAGAATGAAAGTTGGAGGTTTGGGATTGATTTCCCCCTGCTCCCTGCCCCGCCCCACTGTCAGACATCAAGCCGCAAAGTATCACAAGGGATGACTGCATTCGTTTTCTTCTGAAACTTTCAGGTTTCAATAAAACAAGCCTAATCCTCAAAGCTGGGATACAGGCAGGAAGATTGCTTGTTTGCAATTGAGTGCAATCCTCTCATTTTACAGCAACCCTTGTAACTTTTTTGTCTTCTCCTTCTAGAAAGTGAAGGAAAAATTCTCCTCCGTTTTAAAAAAATGCATGTTAAGAGAAACAGTCTGAAGGGGAGAAGCGGCGAGTTTGATAGCAATAATAAACGCAGTGCATAACGTAACTGCAGCGCTTCTAAGCTAAGAGGCTCCCTGGCAGCCATCGGGAGCCTGCCAGACTCGCAGTTGCAAGCCCTGCTTCTCCGAGCATGCCTTGGCGACTCGCGCCCTCACATTTTGGCTTTCTCTGGGACTTTCTGTATGCGACCGGGCGCAGACAGCGGCATGGCGGTTTCCAGAAGCCACGCAGCGGTATTCCTGCACCGAAGCTGGTGAGCCCCGTGAGAGGCTCATGCGCCTACATGGTCTGTAGCTAGGGCTGGCTCTTGCCTGGCTTGAACCGTGTGTGCGCGCGCGCGGGCGCGCACATGAAGATGGATTACTAGCTTGTGTAACAAACACCGTGTGCCAAAATGGAGAGGAATCTGACCTTGGGATGGACGTACTTAATGCATACGGTATGTTTTTCTCCACATAAAGCAGGCTTAATAATTAAAGACGAAAGAGGAAATGGAAATTTCCTGACTGGGTGGTAGCGGTGCAACAGCGTAGTAGTCTCAATCCATCTTGTTCTTGTCCAGTTTCCCTGAAACAGCTGACAGAAGTCTGGAAGCTATTGAGAGCTAATGAGAACAGCAGCAAGCCTAATAGTTAAATGCAATCTTTCTGAGGAGGAACTAATCTGGTTTATATGAGCTGGATGTCCTTTGAAGTAGAGTTGGGGTATGGTCTTCCAAGCTGTGCTTTCACTTGTTTAATTTTTTTCTTGTTTTTAGTAGCCTGCAAGAACAGGCAGCTGCCTATTTGCTGCCCCGATGCATTCGATAGGCAAAGAGGAAGGGTGGCTGCTGCTAGCCTAAGGGGTAGCCCAGCTCGACAGGGAGAGATGGGACGGTTTCCTTATCCTCTGTGGTAGGAGCTGGGGATGGAGGGTGGGGAGCGCTGATGAGCGCTTTGGTTAGTAGATGAGGAGACCAGAACATGCTCACATGCCTTCTCTCCGAAGGGTACACGAGTTTGCCCACAGGGTCCAGACCACATTTGGTTTTCTGGGAGCCATCAAGACTTCTCTGCTTTGTGGTGTAAACCCAATACCGCAGCGCTCGGTCAGAAAGATTACTACCACTTCCTTCCAGCGTAGTGAAACGCTGCAAAATAGGAAATAAGAGATCACAATTATAAAGGATGTTTTTGGCTCCTAGTGCAAATGATGGTTTATTGCAGCCATCCATTTTGCTTCCGTCTGTGAAGATGGTAGACAGAGCATTTGAAAGCGTTTTATTGCACTATGGAGCTTATGCTATGTTATGGTCCTGGAGCTGGCTTAGACACTCTTCTCCCTTTTGTCGCAAGAGGTTGCAGAGTGTTGCCTTCTGAATCGTTACACGTGTCATGGCTTATACTTTTTGTTTATTATCTGATTACTTCTTCCTCAGCTTTCGTAACCTAAGGTTACCCTGGCTACAAAACACTGCTGTCTTTTCTTGCTTGCTTGCTTGCTTGCTTTATGCATTTATTCATGGCATATTTTCAGATTCACGAAGGCACTCGAGTGTCAGCCCCATCTCACTTGTCTGTGCTATCAGCTGTTGCCTCAGCAGTTAGTTTAGTAGGTTGTGGCCTGTGTAAGCAGGGGTGCACAGCAGTGTGCAGATAGATAGGAAGGAAAGATGAAGATGGAGGATCTGTTTGTGACCGCAGCTATACTTCCTGAAGCTACCTGGAAAATATCAGATCCACTTTGTGCAATATCTAAGGCTCATGCAATATCTAAGCCTCGGGTAAGCGTTGATCTTCAGGTATGCAAAAGCTGTGATCTGACTTAGTTACTGCATGGTCCCCTGCTGGCTGATCTTTTCGCTATATTGATGGAGGGATGGAGGGGAGGCATAGCATGAGTGACGGACATCACTACTATGTCCTGGAGGCACCTAGGCACCTCCTCTAATGGAGGCTGGAGGAGTCAGAGGCCTCCAGGAGGCTGCATGGGACAGCAGTGTCAGGATGCGCGTGAAGAGGAGTGGTGGTTTTGTGCCACTGTAGTGAGTCAATTTATTTTTCTATAAGCTTTAATTTTCTCTGAGAAGTATTATCAGGTATGTATTCAAGTCAATGTTTTAATGTCTCTTTTCATAGGCGAACTCAGAATTCATTTGAAATGCTGCAATCTCTGCTGTCCACAGTTACAACCAGAGTGTAACTAGTTATATAAATGAAATGTAGGGCCATTAGTTTGGGCAGATAGCACCGGCATTATAATTGGCTTAGGAACGCTGAAAACCACAAAAAGCCGTGAACTATGTCTATTAAAGGATAAGCCTCAGCAGATGTACCAAGTCAGTTTATTGCATGATCGCTTAAGCTACCATATCTTTCCTATTCCTTATGCATTGCAGTTAGTAATCATTCAGCTCATTTAAAGAATAATTGATTTTTCGTTGCCTGACAATGAAAACAATAGTGTGTATGTTTCTATTCTTTTTCTAACAAGTATATTGCAAATGAAGGTCAGCTGTGTAGTGCTCCTTTGATGTTGGGGCTTTTGTTCCAAGTTACCCCTAGATCTGAATTCAGGTTTTTTTTCTTTTTTCCCTGTTTTTTCTTTTTTCTTAAAGTAAGCAAAATTATATTGTAAGAAACAAAGCCATGAATTTGGTTAAATTTTTTTGACTCGGATGGAGAAATGGTTTAATTTTTGTGCATGTATTCTTGTATCTGTTGAAAAACCTGTAAAACAAAACAAAAAAAAACCCCAAACCAAAAAAAACAATCCTCTGCTTATCCCAAGAAACAAAGTAATTCTGTGTGTTTGTTAAACGCACGACTGCACAAAATATGGAATCGTCTAGCAGCCCTGAATAACCACATTGTTCAATTGCTAAAACAGTTATAATTTCTTCAGTCATCTTCCCATGGTTTTACGTTCACTTGGTTTTTATTTGCAAGCAAATTCAAGGGGCAGCTTGTGTGAGCTGGATCATTTACATTGCCGAACGCTTGTGGATTCTGCCTTTCGGTTGCCTTAAGTTCTGCAGGGGGACGATTTGGAGGGCGTTCAGG